CTGAACTCTTCTGCTTTGATTGAAAGTAGAAGATTTCATTGCTCTGATCCCTGGAGTAAGACTAGTTGACTGCTCAGTTTATTTGTTTATATTTTTCAGTGCCTAATGAAAAAAAAATAAAACGACTTTAAAGTAAATATTCTTTAATTTCATAGGCGTGTTCATAGGAGTTAGGCCACTTTAATCAAAGACATACATAGTAAATTAGTAGACCCAGTATTTAAAGCTTTCAAGGCAATATAGCCCTTGGTTCTAACCATACAAATACATGTACATTCTACTTAGCCTAAGTTCTATTGAAAGTAATTTCAAAATCCACTTATTTTTCAATTATATTATCTTCTGGAGCATTAGTAGCTGTTAATAACAAATGCTGCCATAGTGGTTATAGTATAAACCTGTCACTAAGAAGACCAAACTCTAGGTCATGGATAAATAGAGGAAGGTCTTGTAATAAATTAATCTTATAAGATATCCTCATCCAAAATGTCTTGTAGAGTCTTGGGAGAGGTTCCCAGTAGTTTGTTCTTATGCACAAGAGTAAGAGGCTTGATTTTCCTTCCAGAAAGGAAAATCTTAGTCTCTGTATAGATAACTTTTACTTAGTCTCTGCATAGATAACTCAAGATAGTGCTCTTCCATATTTGTAAAGTAATCCTCAGTTGGTGTTAATGTCTTTAAGGTGTTACCACCACCTAGTAACATTATAACAATGTATTTGCATTTTAATGGAAGACTTTAAAGCTCTTGTACTAAATAAAAGTAGTAAATCTCTGTTGATATAATTGGAGGCCTGGCCTGAAATAGAATGCACTGGAGGTATGAGAGTTGAGCTAGGTGTCCACTGGGTCTATTCTAATCACAGTATGAAATGAAGTGTTCCCATTTAGTGGCCTGACTTCTGCTTCCAGAGAAAGGAAAGAGAGGGCAGCCTCTTTGGCCTGAGTAATCAAGTAATCTTTAACTGATTCATTTTCTTTGAAGCAAAACAAAATAAAGGAAGGGCCTCGATCTTTCAAACATTAACTTCCTTTCTATCTGTACCCTGCTCCTCCACCCTTCACATACTTTTTCTTTTCTGGCATCTAGTTTGAGATCTTAAAAATGCCTCAGTTTTCTTTCTCTGATTCTAGGGTATACCTGACATTATTTCCACAGTTGAGATGTTAACTTGATGTTACTTTTTTTTCTTTATATTTCCTGGAATTTTGAAGATTACTTGGAATAGATGGACTAGGATATTTGAGTGATTTCAAGGAAACGGCTTAGCATACTTAAGATATATTTGAATGTAAAATGTGAAACAAGACCTTTATATCGTCAACAAAATGACTGTTTTTCACATTTTCTGCCAAATCATCTTGGGGATAAAACAAATAAGAAGATCCCTACATCTTTGCAGAAAGAGCTGTAATAGAGTGGTTCATCATGGGTTATTGTAATGCAAAAAGAAACATTCACTAGACATAGCTAGTAAATAAGGACAATTAAAGTTTAGCCAGGTGAAATGGGAGTGGGCTGCTTGGAGAAATGCTTAAGCAGCAAAGAGGCAGTTTGTGTAACAGTGTCAAAATCGTTCAGAATACTGGCAAGAAATTATGTAGGACTAACAGTAAACCATGATGGAGCAATATAAAGGAGCGACTGGAAAAGTAGGCTGAGGTCAAGTATCAAAAGGGGAATTTTAATGGTGTATTCCAAGAAGAGAGTAGAACTTTATTTCTTTAAGCAGATAAGAAATTTGATCAAATATATTTTTGTTTTAGAAAAACTCTTCAGAGATCAATATAGTGTCTTACAGAGAATAGCAACTAGAGGGTACAAGTCTTGGTAAGTTGTGGAGATAATTGGAAGTACTTGATAGGGGATTATGTAATAAGGGAGGAGTTGATTTGAATGATGAAAGTAGAAATGGAGAAGAGAGGAAAGAAATCATTGGTACCTTCAATGGAAAATATCAAGCACACAAGAGAAGGAACACACACAGCTGAGTCCTAGATTTTGGGCTTAGTCAATTAGGTGATATTTTGCTGAACTACGAAAACTTTTAATGGGAAATATGCTGAGTTCAGGGTTGGATAAGCTGAGTCTTAGATTATTAAAGTATGTCCAAGCAAATATTTCCAGTAGACAGGCATTAATCTGCTTGAATCCCAGGAGAAACTTTTAAGCTATAGATGTATATTTAGCATATAAGTGATGACAATAGAAAAGATCACTCAGGGAGAATGGGAACTAACAAAGGACCATTGATCAATCCTAGACAAGCGACACGATTTAAAGAACCAACCAACTGAGAATGAAAAGAGTAAGAGTAAGAGATAGCTAAAGAGGCTAGAATGACATACTCAGGAGGCACAGCATAAATCTAGTATGTGCAAGGCTTTGAGTTAGATCCCCACCATGAATGATCCCCTTCTCTTCTTTTCTAACATCTATGGATGTGGCCCTGGTATCTCCTCAGCACCAACGTTTGGATTAAATATCATTGACAAATTTC